GTGCCTAAAAATATTCATTAAAACATAAATACGCAGTTGGATCATTTGTTTAAATCAAGTTAGACTTACACCTTGATGTACTACAGCGGCTGGTGGCCCAATAGTTTGCTCCCTTTGCAGCAATTTGTGTGTGTTTTCTATCGTCTTTTGACATCGCATATCATTATTCCGGCCTAAAATTCCATCCGTTTCAGCCTTTTTTGTTTCTTCTTTCGTCTCCTCAAATCTCAGCTCTTCCACCTCTTTGTCATCTGTTTCCTTCGCCGCCAGCCTTTTATCTTTTCCGTTCTGCTGCTGCTGCTCCTCCTGACCCCGCTCCCCATTCTCTTCGTCCATTCCACCACTCGCTAGCCATTCTTCCTTTTCGTTACCTCCATCGGCTTCTTCGGTATACACATTAGCCACCTGGTTTGCGCCTTGAAGTCTCGCAGACAGCACTGTACCGCTGCCAGCCACCACAAGGGCTTCGGACAACCTGTGTCTTCGCAAGTGCTCTGTAAGGCAAGTCGTCACCTCCTGGCCTGGTCCAAATCGGAGCACATGCAGCCCAGAAAGGTGAGATCGGACCGGTGTTGGTGAGGTTTGGTCGAGTGGATCGGTTGGTTGCCTAGGCAGTTCAGGCGACACTGGGCTACCGAGACCATTAGCTGGCTGGGATAATTCTTTCGGATCTGGAGTTTTAGGAAACTGTGGTTTGAAGGCGGATAGGAAAATAATGATTATTTGATGTGAAAGCTGTCTGTATATTTCATTACTGAAAATAATTATCTAAAATCATTTGTGTCGTTCCATTCTTTGTGATTACTCTTGTACAAATATGGGATTTCGCCTATCTTAATGGTTCCATCCAAAAGATGGCCTGCTTTCTTCTATTCAAATTGTATGCAAACTTTATATACACACAGAGTAGCTCTGTCATACATTTTATATAGAATCATAATTAAAAGCTGAAATATTATAGATATGGAATGACTTGTTCAGTTCTCCGTCAAATTAATCAGAGAACTTATACTTAATGTATTTATGTCCGTGTTTGTGTGCCAAAATTTGTGCACATGTCAAAGTAGACAATACCGAATATTACTCAGATGTACAGATTTTAGCACATGCACGCGCACACAGACACAGACGCACATACTCAAGTATAATTATCTTAATTAATATGAAAGTGAATTAACCAAATCATTATATATATATTTATATATATTGGTTTCCAATTATGAGCATATAGAGATTGTATGATATCGCTTGAGTTTAAAACTTTTGCAAGAATTAGTTCATATTTGACTATGTCCGTCATATGACGATGGAAGCTCAGCCTGTTTTAACCCGAAACGAAGAAGGACGCCTCGTTGGCTGTGTCAAACTGAACATCGTATTAAAACCAAACGGGGGCAGACCAACAGCAATCCTCCGTCGTGCTTCGATGAGATTGACCTACGAATCATTTCGTCTTATGCTTTCATACGAAATGAAAGTCGCCACAACAACGTAAACTTTAAATTTAGATATGAAGACCAAGATGTTGTGGCCTCTATTTTAGTCACCGTCTACTTTTTTATGTATAGAAGTGGTTTGACCTCGTTTTTGCAACTTGGTCGTGTTGTCAGGGCGACTTAGTTGGATACACATTGTCCAAAGTCTTCTCCTAATTCCCATTGTTGGACCGTGGACCTGGTATAGTCCCAGATGTTTCATTGGTATCGTAGTCGGCATCGTCAATGAGTCTTTCCATTCCCAGATCCAGGCTACAACTCATCAAAGAGCATACGATGCCAACTTATATAAAAAAAATAGGCATCATTCTGGCTACGCATAAAACCAGATGTGGCTTAATGGTTTACAGTCGCTTGTGACAGCGACTCTGTCCCTAATGAGTCCTGACGACGTTGTAACAACCTGTTGCTTATGAAAGCTAAAAATTATAGAGAGCCTAATAAAGGTTGGTCGAGGCCTTGACTTGACTTGTCTCTTTGACGACTTGTAGCTTAGTACTGAGAATGGCAAGACTCACTGACGATACCAATGAAACGTCTGGGAATGTACCAACTCCACGGTCCGACGCTGGAGGACTTCGTAGAAGGTGAGAAGACCGTGAGAAGACGACCAAGTTGAGAAAATGTGGTCAGACCGCATCAAAAAGTAAACTTTAATTTAATGATTTTGGGACTAGCCTACTCTCTTTTCGTTCAACTCAACGCCAAATGCACCCAAAAGTCGTCTTTTCCAACTTACCTCAGATGGTTTTCCGCCCACTGGGTCATTGTAGTTATGACCGTCTTGGGATATGTCCACCATACCGGCATTTTGGTCTTCCAAACAATCGAGAAAAGCATGTTTGCAGCAGCGACGCCTTTTTGTCGGCAGAACTGCCCAGTATACCGGAGACAAGTAGCCCTCAGAGACTGATCGACTTCTTTGAGCATTTTTTTCAACTGGATCGTCCTCCCATGCCTTTTGATCAGCTATCCTTTCCCCATCTTCCCCACTTTCACGGCCCTCTTCCTCGTCTTCCTTATGCGCATTGTCATTCGTATTCTCCATCACCTCTTTTTGGTCAGCCTCTGTTTGTTTACAACTTCTCGTTCTGGGTTTATTCGTTGATACATCAGGGCTTTCAACTGTATCCATCCGTTTTCCGGAGCTACCGGTCTCATTTCGAGCCGGCCAGCGCCATGGAAAGCCAAGATCTACCAACAGGCCTGCGGTGATCCGATGCTGCCAGCGCGACCAAGCTGGGGATAGTTCATCGTCTACTGGAGAGGCCGAAGGTGAGACTTCCTGAGATCCCGAATTCAGGCTTGATCTCGCTTTTTGGGTGGAGCAGTTGTTGGACTCCTCGATCCATCTGGCCCGCTTGAAGGGAGTTATTGGGCGATCTGGTCTACTTCGCTTCGTGCCGTATTCCTCGATCTCTTCTTCTGCTTCAGCTTGAACAGCTCTGCATATGACTTCGTCTGTCTCCTTTTTCTCGCCTTGGTGTTGGTGTGTTTTGGATTCCTCCGATCGGCATACGTCAGCAAAGTCACCTGCATACAGGCAATAACGGTTCGGTTTTTTACGCTTTGGTCGACCCGCAAGACGTTCACCGATATGACTTTTTTCCGGCTTGTCAGAACAGTCTGCCTCACCGAGACTGCCGGCCCGGTTACTGAAGAGTTCGGTAAGAAGAGTCTTGGATTTCGCCAAAAGTGTTGGTGTGCATTGGTCTGGGCTCAACCGCCGGCTAGCACTGGCCACTGCCGAGGTGTTCGAGCCCGTAGCGGTGGTCTGATTAAGGGCAGCTGTAGCAGCCAGAGCAGCTGCAGGGGCCAGATACGACGGTATCTTCGGCAGACCATCAACACCGTGGCCCGGCAACAAGGTGGCAGGTTGTAATGCAGGCAAGGGTATGTGTTGCGGTGCTGTGAGGAAGGGAGGAGGGAAGAGAGATGATGGCCGTCCTAGACCCGGAGTCAGTTCCATCGAGTTTAGGAGATCTGAAGTCGCGAGGGGTGTTGAGAGGGACCAGTCATCAGCGACTACCGAGCTGCTGCTAGAGTCGGTCTGTAGGGCCGTGGGACAAAGTGACAAATATCGAGGGATGAGCATTGCGAAACTATACTAACTTATAACAAAAAAGACATGATTCTGGCTATGCACAAAACCTAATTTTGCTCAATGGTTTGCGGCTGTTGGTGAAGGCAACTCTGCCCATAATCAGTCTTAACGACATTTTAACAGCCTATGGCTTGGAAAAATATGAATATGAGAGAGCCAAATGAAGGCTGGTCAAGGGATTTACTTCACTTGCCTCTTTGACGAGTTGTAGCTTGATGCTGAGAATGGCAAGACTCACTGACGATGCCGACTACGATGCCAACGAAACGTCTGGGAATGTACCAAGTCCACTGTCCGACTAATTTGGCAGAGGAATTTGGACGAGGGACGTCCAACTAGCTCGTCCTGATATCACAACCAAGTCGCGAAAACGAGATCGGAGACTGCAACCAGGATAGAGACAACAACATGTTTGTCTTCAAATCCAAATTACCTTTTGTTTTTCACTTTTATTAACGTTGGAAATTTGCTGAGCTCAATTGCATTTTTGAGTTGACGTTATTTATGATCGATCCCACCGGAGAATGACGTATGATTCCTCTTTTCCAGCTGTCGGGTAGTTTTACTTAAACATTTTGTCTGTTTCTGTCTCTGGCATATAAACACATCCAAATAGACACATGCTCATGCTGCTATAGTGACATATAATCTGAACTAAGTAAATTGATTTATACTTCATATAAAGTGATAAGTCGGCTATTTTTCTTGGATCGTTAGCTTGAATGAATGATACTCGGCTCGGATGTTGTTCGTCATATGACAGACTAAAGCTTAGTGTGAATTCAATGGAATTGAAGGAGATTGCCTCAAAGATAGCATCAACAGGAATGCTCAAGAGTAGCCAAACGACAGCTGATCACCAAGATTCCGCCGTTAATTTCTGGTGGGATCGACTCTTAAATCTCTTTATTTCATACTTACATAAAATAGGAGTGAGCTCAGCAAGTTTCAACCAAGAGATTCCTTAAAACGTATACATTGTGAATTGTTTTCATAAATTTGAATAAAACTGGCTGGGATTCACATAAATACTCACACCGTTTCACTGTTAATGTTCATCACCTCGAAATTGACGCAAGTTATGTAACTCATTTTTAGGTTGAGTATGCACAAAATCTACTCATAGTCTCAAGGTCTATTCAATATGAATTTAAGTAATCTAGTCGATCCCAGAATTTTATTTTTAAATGTCCCACAAAGGAAAGGGGTCGGATTCCACTAGCAAGATCGAGCCTTATCCTCTACGCATCGCTGGTAGACTATTTTTCAGTCCCTGAAACCCCAAGGGACAAATACCTCGTTCTGTGAACTGGATCGACTAACGGTATTAATAGCAATAAAATTGTTTTTATTCCTCAGCCCAATCCTAATAATAAAGATATGAAGACCAAGATGTTGTGGCCTTTGGTATAGTCGCAGTCTCCTTTCGATTTATAAAAGTGGGTTGACCTCGCTGTCGCAACCAGGTCTTGTTGTCAGGGCGACTTATTAGAACACACCTGGTCCGAAGTCGTCTGCCATAGTAGTTGTCATGATTCCCAGCATCAGACAGTGGACTTGGTACATTCCAAAACGTTTCGTCGGCATTGTAGTAGGCATCATCAGTGAGTTTTGCCATTCTCCGCACCGTGGAAGGATTGACTTCACTTGTCTCTTTGACGAGTTCGTAGCTTGGTGCGGAGAATGACAAAACTTACTGATGATGCCGACGAAACGTTTTGGAATGTACCAAGTCCACTGTCTGATGCTGGGAATCATGACAACTACTATGGCATACGACTTGGGACTAGGTGAGTCTTACTAAGTCGCCCTGACAACAAGACCAAGTTGCGACGATGAGGTCGACGCACTCCTAATAATAAAGTTCTAATTATGTGCATGAAAATCGGCTAATAATATTTTTTATTATTATTGTATTAAATGGGAAAAGTAATTTATCTTTTTAGAGAAAGAATGTCTCTGGTAGTAGTGTCGATTTTAATTAAAATTGCAAGTTTACCTTATCAACGCCAGTCCACCACAAGCCAGACCTGGCTGGCCTTGAAAGTCACTCTCTGGAATTCCAGGCTTTTAGTCAAATTGTGACATGTTGCCGCATGACATTTTCTAATTTTATTGGTTATAATGAGTGTCAAACATTATATAATTGCATATACAATTGTATCTACTTACATGTACAATTATATTATGTAATTGAATTGTATAATCGCAATGACATGTCATTAAGCCTTGATGACCTTAGAACGTCTTATCATATTTTCTCATTACCCCAAACGATTATGACCGCACAGACAATACACAGGCATATAATTTTACCAGTAGAAATGATTATGTAAAAAAACTAATCAAAGATGCCATCTGCTGAAGTATTTCATGGTCAAAGGCTAGTCGTTGTCATACGATCCACGAAAGCCTGCTAGATTTTCACCGGAGCCGAGGGAGGCTGTCTCGAGGATGACATCAGCCGACTGTTTGAATGATGCGATGATGAACTCGACCTATGCATCCATTCACCGGACAAGTTCAACTAAAATGGTAAGCCTCACGCTCCTCGAGCTTTGACAAAGAGCATCTGAAATTACCTTTAGGAGACTTGAATCAACCGTGGTTTGATGCAACCTCCTCTGATGCCAAGATTCGTTCTGCGATCTATTCAGCATTAGAATGACCCTAATGCTACAATAAATGCTATCAATTCCTCTTCTCTAAGTCCTGGATAGCTCAACGGCCAGTGCGTAATAGGCCGAAACACAGGGATGTAGATTTTCAATATCTCTTAACGTTATTGAAAGTGTTTTAGGCTTTGTTCAACTTCCTATCCAA